TTTAAGGTCCCTTTAAAGCCTTTAACACTCGGGATTCTACGAAAGGTCCTCCCCTCTCTGCTCACGGCCTTTGCTCTCCCCTCACAGTCCCTTCTTCTTCGCGTGCCCCCGCCCTTCTCCGCTTAGCAGCTGGCCCGCTCAGGCCCACCTTGGCCGTCTTGATGATCTCGGTGAAGTTGTCCATGATGGACTTGACATCGTCCTTGAGGCGCTTGTTGTAGGACTGCAGCAGGGTCTCCTTGCTCTGGGGCAGCACCCGGGGCTGCGCCATGGCCGCGCCTCCCCGCCCGGCCCCGGACCAGGAGCCGGACCCGCCCACCCGCGCTCTCGCGAGATCTCGCGCGCCGTAGATATCTCCCGGCATGCACCGCCCTTCCTTTCTCTCCCACCGCCCAAGATGGTGAGTGATGGCGGCAGCGCGGGGGGGCTGGGGCTATCCGCCGCCATCTGGGGCAGCCCCCCGTCATCTGCTGCTGCCGATGGGCCGCGGCAGCGCCGCGAGGGTGCTCGGCTGCCGGGGGAGGCGGTGGAGCTGTGTTTCGTGTCCGATTCGCGGTGGTGGGGAAGGCCGCGTATGGGCCTGCCCTCCCGGGCTGGGAAGCTGCGGCTGCTGCCGGCCCGGGCAGGCCGCGGGGCGTTCACGGGGTAGGTCGGCTCCCGTGGTCTGTAATGCGCCGTGGGGGCATCTCCGCTGCTATAGGGGAGCGCCAGGCCGGGAGAAGCCATCATCACACTCGCTTTAATCTTCTTCCCTCGCGGGATGGTTTATAAAACTTGTAAACGTAAAGCTAAGAATTTTCTCTGGGAGAGCAGGACGAGCATGGAAATCCGCCATGGTGGTGAAATGCCTGGGAAAATAAATGCATTTCTAGGGTGGGCTGGTAATTTGCCTAAGCACGCGAGTTTTGGAGGAAAAAGAAAACAGAGTGTGTTTCTTGCTTGTAGCCGAAAGGAAAGAAGGCCAAGGGCAAGAAGGTGGCACCGGCCCCTGCTGTAGTCAAGAAGCAGGAGGCCAAGAAGGTTGTCAATCCCCTCTTTGAGAAGAGGCCCAAGAACTTTGGCATTGGTGAGTAAGTGGATGTTTGGGATAGCTGCTCCCATGTGTTTTTCTTGTTCAGTGAACAGATGTCAAAGATATAAACATTAAAAATCACTCCAGACTTTGTGCAGTGCCGTTCTTGTACAAGATGCAGATGATGTGAAAGAATATTTGCTATCTGAGTGGTCGTGCTGACACATTACCACCAAGATCACTGATGCTTCTGTACCATTCTTGTGCTGCTGCTCTGGATTTGGGGCAGCCCTGAGCTAAAGGCTGTGTTTTTTTAGGACAGGATATCCAGCCCAAGCGTGACCTCACCCGGTTTGTTAAATGGCCACGCTACATTCGGCTGCAGCGCCAGAGGTCCATCCTCTACAAACGCCTAAAGGTGCCTCCTGCCATCAACCAGTTCACCCAGGCCCTGGACCGCCAGACAGGTAAGGATGTGCCCCACAACGTTCTTCTGGCTTGGGTTGTAAATGGATGTGCCTCAAAAAAGGGGAAAGAAACCAAAATTAGCCTTAACAAAGATAAGGTGGGGTGTGTCTGTGGAAGTGTTTTAGGGAGGCTTTAATAGTGACTGGGGTGGTGTCAAAATCAATTTGCTGGCTTAAATCTTGGATTGCTGCTGTCCACCTGGAAAGGGATTCAGGAAATATCAAAGCTCTATTTACTGACCCAAACCCTGCATTAAATCTTAACTGTGATTCCATTCTTCCAGCTTGATGTAGAACTACCCAGGATGGTGTAAACAGATTGCTTGAGACATCTGTGGGAGTGCAGGCTTTGGGGGAAAACTGGCACTGAAGGAAGAAGGGATTTTAGGGGTCTTCTGTGAATGAGTCTATGCAAAAGACTTTGGACCTGTGTAGAATAATTTCCTCCTCATTGATGCTCCTTGGTTTAAAAGAGCCAGTGCACCACCTCTAACCATAAATGCTGTGGGGGGTGTCCACAGGCATTTCCTCATCCAGTCAGGGAACTCTGTGTCATCAGAGGCACATTCAAACAGAGGCTCTCAGGGTGCTCTTCCCTTGGACTGTGCAGATGATGATCCCTTTTTGCTCTGAAAAAAAAGTGATGACAGCCACCAAGATCGCTGATGCACTGCAGTGTTTTTAAAAAATGATGCTTATATTTTCAGGTCATGCAAATAACTATTAGCTATTCTCTTCCAGCCACACAGCTTCTGAAGCTGGCACACAAATACAGGCCTGAAAATAAGCAGGAGAAGAAACAGAGGCTACTGGCTCGTGCTGAGCAGAAAGCTGCAGGAAAGGGAGATGCTCCAACCAAGCGGCCACCGGTCCTCCGAGCAGGTAACTTTGTATCTGAGCTGATGGAATGTGGAAGCCTGGCACTTTGTAGGAGAGAAAACTGATGGAAGAGTTGGTTTGTCAATTGGACAGCCTTGGACAAGCTATGGCAGTGATGTTATGAATTTCTTCACCTGAGCTCAAAGTGAAGAGCAAAATAGACGAGCTTTTTAACCCTGAGCTTTAGCAAATTGTCCACTAAATGTCTTTGTGCCACTGATGTGAAAAGTTTCCGTAACTTCCATAGTGATGTTGTGCTATGGAATCAGAGTTGGCTTGCAATAACTCTGGTTATTGCAATAAAGCTCTGAAAATGGACTGAGAGGAATCAAACCTTATCTAGAATTTGTTTTTCAGGTATTAATACTGTCACAACTCTGGTGGAGAACAAGAAAGCTCAGCTTGTCGTTATTGCCCACGATGTAGACCCCATTGAGGTATGTTACAGGCGACCTGTGTAACTTAGGGTAGGGTCAGAAGTGCTTTGAAGGCAAAAATGGATTTTGGGACAAATTGTATGAGAGAGAATGCACAAAAAACCCACACATTTGCCAGAACTGGGATGCTTGTGCATGTTTGTAGTTGTCCTGGTGGGACAGTGAGGCTGGGCCCTTTGCAATGATGTTTTGAATTTCTTCACCTGAACCAGCAGTGAAGAGCAAAACGAGCTTTTTAACACTGAGCAATTGCCACAGCCCAGGCTGACACCCAGCACAAATGGATGTTTACCCTCAGTTACTCAGCACTCTCTTCCCTTGCAGCTGGTGGTTTTCCTGCCAGCCCTGTGCCGCAAGATGGGGGTTCCCTACTGCATCATCAAGGGCAAAGCCAGGCTGGGCAGGCTGGTCCACAGGAAGACATGCACCTCTGTGGCCTTCACCCAGGTTAACCCGTAAGTGTTCTGAGAGCTCACTTGACTGTCTCGTGGAGAAAGCAAACTGCACTAAGCACAGGCTCTAGGGGAGGTGGGTAGCAAACTTGGGTCTCTCTGAAGTAGTAAAATTAAAATTCCACCTCTGTAGGGTCTAATAGAAATGTCTCTATCAAATCCCGAAGGTGCAGATCAGTTTGGTTTACCAAATAGGTTGTTATTCCAAAATCTGAGCAGTGCGGATCCTGAGTGTTAAGGCTTTGCAAGTGATGTTTTTGCTTAACTTGAAAAATTGGGTTGCCACTAGAAGCTCTCAAATTCTATGGCAATATAATTATGGAAAATGTTAAATCAAGGCTCTAAAGGAACTAAAATTGTCATCAACAGGGAGGACAAGGGAGCCCTTGCAAAGCTGGTGGAGGCTGTCAAGACCAACTACAATGATAGATACGATGAGGTAAGATTCTCTGTGCGGCTGGCCTTGTCTTTTTACACTGTTAACATTCCCAGAACAGAGAAATTTGACATGGTGACATCAGTTTATACTTGGATGTGTTACACCTAGGTTTGCTTACAGTGTATCCAGATTCTTTACCTAAGGATTGGGTAAAATGTGACAGCTGTCGCCAGGTTAGAAGTAAATGGCTACCCTAGGGCAAGGATTGCAGAGAGGGCAACAGCTTCTGCTACCAAAACTCCATATCCTAAATCCAGGAATTATGGGATAGCTGAATCCAGCATCTCTCATTGGGAAAGATTCTAAGCTTTTCTCTTTGCTGCTCCAAAATGTAGTGCAGTGCTTGAAATGTGTAGGACTTTGCAATTGAGAGAGCTCTTGCCTTGTGGAGAATTTTGAGTGGCAAAGTAAAAGATGGAATGAGGTCTCTAACCTGTTCTCCCTTCTTTGCAGATCCGTCGTCACTGGGGCGGGAACGTTCTGGGTCCAAAGTCAGTGGCTCGCATTGCGAAGCTGGAAAAAGCAAAGGCTAAAGAGCTGGCTACAAAGCTGGGCTGAAGATGTACTGCATTGCACCGTGTTTTCTGTACATAATAAACCCCAGCTGTTTCAGTGGTCTCTGTTCATGGGAGTGTTCTAGGCAGGGACTAACACATTGCTATACTCTGTGCCTTCCATCCAGTGACAGAATAGTGCTGGGCACAAACGGCTGCACAGAGCTGGGTATTACTGAACTTGCAATAACTTCCCTTAATTACTAGTCCTGTGCAATAACTCCTCTCTTGAACACACAACCCAGCAGCTCAGCTGCACATGCTCTGGGATCTTGGATAATTCTGGTTTTAAGCTTGGCTTGGTTTTGCAAATCTAAATTGGAAATAGCTCTCGATTTCTCCTTACCTGGGACTGGGTTACAGTATGGGTTACACACAGTATTACAACCTTCCACACCTGCAGTGCCTCTTGCAGTAAAGGCAGGCTGAGGGGGTATCAAGACCTTCCTGTGGCTCTGTTCTTTCCTGAGTGCTGACTTGGTCTGGTGGCACTGTGGAGGCTATCAAAGCCTCCAGCTGTGCTAGCTGCTTTTTGCCAGCCCTCATCGTCTTGCAAAGCCACAGGCTGCCTTCCCCAGCTAGACCTGAGTCTCCACAGTAACCTCTGTTTCAGGTTTGCTGCTGTTCCGTGTAAGATGCATGATACAAGTCACAAGGCAAAGACCTGTAGGCCTTCATTGTACTAGAACTGCTGCCAGCCATTGCTGACTTCAGGAAGGACTGCTTCCTGCAAATAAAAATCAGCAAATAGGCTCATTTAAAAAAACTGGGTTTGTCTTAAGGAAAACAGAGTGGAGATATTAAAATGTACTTTACAAACAACCATAGTAGAAAAATGTATTTTGGTTACTATTGAAGTTCAGTGCTCCCAAGCTGCAGCCAAATCACACTGGTGGGAGCTCAGTTTGCAGGGATTGCTTAAAGTCTATTTGCAGCTTGCTAATGTTTGCTGAAACTGCTCTGGTCCTCCAGGTGCTTCAGTTATTTAGGACTGATCAGGCTCCTGTCATCCATAAAAATCTGCTCCTGACAGTAGCACAAAAAAGGTTTCTTCCTTCCCCTCACAGGGGTGCCTTCTGTATAAATTTCTTGTACCACAAAAAGGAAGTTGCAGCACACAAGCTGTACCTGTAAGAGAAAAATCACACATTGGCACCTTTCCAGAGTGGACTGGACCTCCCTAAGACAGCTGCAATAACCAAGGCAAACCACATGGCACAAGTTTTTTAGGTTAAAACTGGGCTTTTGTGGCTCAAGAGCTCATGCAGGCATTCCAGAGCAGGCTGGGGTAGGTTCCCCAGGCAGGCTGGTCCCTTACCAGGTAACGATGTACTGCATGTGCTCGTTCCGCAGGCTCACCCTGGTCTGGCCCCCAATGGGCCCCCCTGGGACTGTGCTTCCTGTGGGGACAACACAGCCAAGTTCAGTCCTTAGTGTGGAACTGCACTGTGTGAGAGGGGAAGGTGATTAATCTGGTGGTTGGATACCCTGCTCTCCCCCAGGCAGTGGTGTTCCCAAGTTCATGAATCCCAAATCCATGGTTTGGCTTGGTAGGGACCTTAAAGCCCATCCCATTCCACCTCCTGCTGTGATGGGCAGGGACACCTTCCTCTATCCCAGGCTGCTCCACACCCTGTCCAGCCCTGGCCTTGGACACTTCCAGGGCTCCAGCAGCAGCCAAAGCTACTCTGGGCACTCTGTGCCAGGGCCTGCCCACCCTCACAGGAAACAATTCCATCCCAATATCCCATCTAACCCTGCCCTCTGGCAATTTGAAGCCATTCCCCCTTGTCCTATCTTTGATGCTCCAGACAAAAGTCCTTCTCCAGCTCTCTTGTAGGCTCCCTGTCACCTTGAGAACAGTGGGCTGGCAGAGCACAGAAGAGAACTGAGGGGAAAGGGAGGGAATGGGATGTAAATTGAACATGGGGCTGGATTCCTCTGTGACTTACTGAAATCTGCATCGATGAAGATGGGCTCAGCACCAGTCACCTTGGCCATGGCCTCCAGGTCCCGGTAGTGCCAGCGATTTTTTTCAATGTTATTTTCAGGCACAAAGGGTTTCCTTTTTTCTGTTAACCTCACCACCCCTGTGAGATCAATCTCATCTTCAATCTGAGGAGAAATGCAGAAAGAAGAAATGAATGTTTCAAGATTGATTTCATATTCTGACATATCAAGTCCTGTCAGGAAAATGTGGCACTGGAAGGGTCTGAGCATAAATTGTTGTTCTCTGCAATGGGGCAGTGCTGTAACAGCAGGAAAAAAAGCAGAACAAGAACAACTCCTTGTTTGTAAAACACATTATTTAACAAAAAGGTGGGAAATAAAGGTTTGTTGTCTTTGAAACTAATTAAATCACCTCCCATGATGCTGAATATAGCTCCTGACTTTCTGGATTAGTGTGGTACCTCTGAGCAACCAAGGGACACAAAGTAACACCCCCATTCCCTGGATCCCCCTTACCTGTCCCTTCAGTCTGGTCTCCGGTTTCAATTTCTCCCTGGGCACAAATCCTCGGTTGACTAAAATCGTGACCCTAGAGTTACATAAAGAAGTACTGCTCAGGAGTGAAAGGGAATTTATTCCTGCTGCTGCTGCTTAGAACTAAAGACCAAAGAAAGAAGCAACCCATGTGTTTGCTGCCACTTTTGCTGTCACCTTATGAAGGAATTTAAATACAATTTCAAATCAAGCCTCAGTGATGTCACAGACTAGGAGATGCCTTTTAAGGCAGGGAGTGACTGATACAAACCCAACCACCAGGATTCAGCTTTTCCAAGGATAAGTGAGTGCTCCAGTGGAGCAGGACTCTCCTGAACTCACCCGAGCTCTGTGCAGTAGAAGGGGGTGACGACGTTGGCTCCATTCTCCGGATGGGATGTGATCCTCCCGGCTTCCCGGGCTTCCCGCTCCGGGTTCAGCAGGGAACGGGGAAGGATGTACAGCTCCTTAGAGTGGTCAAAATGCCCTCGGACCGTCACAGGTCTGTACTCCAACTCCTTCAGTTCCATGGGGCTGCATGGAACAAGAGGAAAACAAAATCATGCCTGTGCTAAGCAAATTCAATCAGGAGATTTTATTGCAGGATTCTCTTTTTCCCTAATGGTTCACTTTGAGTGGAGCCTGGCAAACAGAGGCAGAAGACAAACAGCTCATGGAATATGGCTTAATATATTTCAACTGTGACAGAGAATCAAATAGAGATGATTAGGAGCATCCAGGGAGAAGTTCTGTTCCATACCTGGAACCCAGTAAGAGCAGGTGGACTCACTGCCCACGCATCCAGCCATGGGAAGTGTTTCTTTCCCATCCCAGACCATGAATTCCAACAACTGAGCCCTTCTGAGAGTTGTGCCAGGTGACCAAGTGACCTTAAAAATCTCTCTCACACCTGACACAACTGCTGCACATGTGGGGCAGGGCCTGCTGTTGCTCCAAGACTCCCTGTTGCAGTAACAATTTCTTTGGGACACCACAGACACCCAAGTCCTCTTTTTCCAGTGGGATTAAAAATGCTATGAAATACATCCCTCATTCTCCTGAACAGAGATTCATCCTTCCCCATACATTTAGAGTATCCTAAAGGAAGAACTGACTTATCCTTTTACTAAAAATAAAAAAATTATCAGGATCTCTTTCTAATTTGCTAGCATATCCCAATTTCCATTGTATCCCTTCATTTTCATGCAGGTCAGTTCAGCACAAGTTCATTAGTGCATGGTCCATATCTAATATTTCCAGTCAGTGCTCTGTAGACAACAAACCATCCCTGCTTCCATACTCTAATGTCAGAGGGATGGGATCTGCTGTGATTCTTGATGCCAGTTGTGCAATCAAATCTAATTTCCACTTGCGCCGCTGAACCTGGAAGTAAACAAACACAAAAGTAACTCCTTAGGGTAGAACTGGGCAATGTAATAACCCCAGCAAGCCTTAAAACCTTGGTCATAATTTTCGCATCAGGCCTGGCCTAAATCAGGGTAATTGGAGATGAGAAAATAGAGGTTACTGAATTTAATTTGAGGAAATATTTATACTAAAATATAACTGTAAAAAAATACTTTTAAAGACTTCAAAGTGTATACTTGGAAAACAGAAATGTAAAATAACAGCAAATCTTTAACCTGCCTGTTGTCTGAACTAGATCACCCAGATGGAAAAACTTGACAGTCCTCAAGTATTCATTTTCTGAAAAAATGAAATATTGATTTGTACCTGCCATGTGCCAAGACCAAATGTGGTCAGAGGGATGAGGAGAAGGCCCCATTTCAGCACGGTATCCTCTCCAGATGTGTCAGCAGCTGCTGTAGAACTTCGTGGTCTGCATAACCTCAAACAAACATCTACAGAAAACCAGAACAGGAACAGGATTCAGAGAAATGCCAAATTCCTGCAGGAAATATTACATCTTTGTACTAGGGTGAAATAGGGCAGAAGCCCAGACAAATATTTTCTTACCTTTAGTCTTTTGAATCAGACCAGAACCTTCTTTAGTTAGGGGATATCCAAAAAATGTTCTTCTGATCAAGCACTGTAATGTCTACACAGAATAAGAAAGATCCTCTGTAATGCTGCTGCTTTATAAAACTTTTATTTCGGTGATATCAGTGAACTTGATAAACATCAAGTTTATCCATTGATTTATGTCTCAAATGAGCAACTGCCTGTGAAACACTATGGGTTAGGCTTTCATTTAAATTAAATAAGATAAAATTTCTATTACAGAGCTGCCTACAGCACAGCAATGAACTTTCATTCACACTATCAGCAAACACACACCAGCCTAATCTATTCTTGACAGAAACAAGGGCCTACAGGGGACGGGATCAGGGGACAGGATGAAGGGAGGGGATGAGGGAACAGGATGAAGAGATAGGATCGAGGGACTGGATCAGGTAGAGGGGACAGGCTGAGGTAACTGGATCCGGGAACTGGATCAGGGGACTGAATCCAGGATGAGGGGACATGATCAGGAAACGAGAGGAAGGGACTGGATCGGAGACAGGATAATGGGACATGATCAGGGTCGAAGGACAGGATCAGCGGCTTACCCGTCCCGGCTCCGCTGCCCCGAACCTCCCCTGGTGCCACCGCTCCCTCAGCAGCCTGGGCCCGGCTCTAAGCACCGGCGCGGCCATGGCAGCCCCGGCCCGGCCCCGCTGCCCCGCTCCTCCCCCGCCCTGCCCGTGGCCCGG